AGATAGAAAACTCCAAGCCGTAGGGGGTTTGGCTCAGTGGATAGAGTGTCGGCCTGTGGACTGAAGGGTCCTGATTTTGATTCCGGTAAAGGGCACGTGCCCGGGTTGCAGGCTCAATCCCCAGTAGGGGGCATGCAGAAAGCAGCTGATCAATGATTCTCTCTCATCATTGTTGTTTCTATCTCTCCCTCTCCCTTCCTCTCTGAAATCAATAAAAATATATTAAGAACAAAAAAGAAAACTCCAATAACAAGTATGATTATAGGAGGGTAATAGTCGCCGAGTAGTGACCATATGGACAGGCCCTGTGCTAAGAGCTTTCCAAACTCGGTCTCAACGAATCCTCACCCAAACCTATTACATAGGGATTATCATTATCGAATTTTACAGTCAAGAACCTGAGACTCAGAGAAGTCAAGTAACTTTCCCAAGACCACACAGCTAGTAAGTAGCCAAGCTGGCATTGAATGTGGGGCCATCTGACTTGAGCCATGCTGCTAAGATCAGCCTGACTGCCTCTCCAGGGACTGCAGGTCACACCACTAAGTGAACTGAGTGGGAGCGGCTACTGAGGTAAATCGGAGACCTTCCTAAATGGGGTAATCACCCCTCCGCAGCAACCAATAGTTGCCATGGGAAAATGCACATCCAGAATGGCCAGACCTACCCATTTCTCAAGAGAAATCAGAAATCTGGATTTCTGTGTGACATATCCGGGGTTTTAAGCATTGAAAATTGGTTCTAAGTTGGTTTTAAAACAACTTATATACTAGAGACTAAAGAGATTTCACAGCCAATTCAATGAGCCTTGACTGGATCGTGGTTTGAAACACCAAAGTCTAAAAGACATATTTTAGTATGACTGGGAAAATTTTAATATGACTGGATATTTGATGATATTATGGATATTTTTGTTGTTTTTCTTGGTTGTGATACTGGAATTGTTATGTGAGAAAATGTCCTCCTCCTTAGGAGGTCCATGCTGAAATATTTAGGAACAAAGTGCCCCGTCTGCAACTCATTTTCAAATGCTTCAGCCATAAAACAAACGGGAAAGGGGGGTGGTGTAGAGAGAGAGGGAAAAAGAAAGGAATATTTGAAGAGAAAGAGATTAACCATAAAGCAAATATGACAAAATACTAATAAGTGTTCAGTCTAGATTAGTAGTTCTCAGCGGGGGTTGAGTCTGCCCCTACATGACATTTGACTATGTCTGAGGGTGTGTTTTACTGTCATGACTGGGTTGTGCAGTGGGTGCTACTGGCATCTAGTGGGTAGAGTCCAAGGATGCTGCCAAACATCCTGCAGGGCACAGAACAGCCCCACAACAAAGAATTATCCAGCCCCAAGTGCCAGTTGTGCTGAGAATGAGAAACCCTGGTCTAGATAAAGGGTCTACTGAAGTTCCTTTTGATTAGTCTTTCAAGTTTTTGTAGGTTTAAAATGTTTCACCATTTAAAAAAATTAAGAAAAACTTTAAAAATATAAAAGTACATAAATAGAAATATTTTGCAGACCAAACAAAACATGTCTGCATGGTTGGGTAACCATAGCTGGCCACTTGCAGCCACTTTTCCCAATAAATAGTGGTTGAATGTAGCTGCTGTTACAGCTGCTGAATGAGCATCTGTACAGTTCTTACAAAATCGAGTGCAAAGCACCCCTCCTGAAATTACTATCTTTCTCCTGCTTCCAGTCCTAATCAGCCCAGAAGCAAGCAGGCAATGTGCCCAGGACTATGGGCCTAAAAACTGACATCACAGAGGCCTCTTCTGGGAAAACACAAGCGTGCTGGCCACCAGGAGCAGTTTGTGACATGGGAGCAGCGATGTGTTCTAGTCTTTGAAGGGGAGGTGCTTATAGATGAGATGAGAACAGACCCCTCATCTCAGTGACCCTCACAGCCCGAGAGAGAACTAATTACAAGGCTGTGGCCAGCACATTAATTTCACCTGGAAGCCACCTGCTGGTGCCAAGCTTGGCATGTCTGCCTCACCCAAGCATCCCTGAGCCCCTGCAAGCTAATGAGCCAATGGCTGGGACTAAAAACGATTCCCTGCATAAGCAGCCCAAGGTGCATTTGGCGGGGGTGGGGGGGTGGGGGGGGGGGACTTGGGGCAGCCGCAGCACCACAGAAATACATATTAAGGCTACATACATGTAGAAAACAAGCAACAGAACGCAAATAAGGGAGCCACCTTGGGATGATTCATTTATCGCAGCCCTGTAAAAGATTCCTAAACCCAAGACCAGTCTTTCTCAAAGTGTGGGGTGGGTTGGTTAAATGCAGATTTGGGGGGCGGGGGGCATCCCAGACTTCTTGATTCAGACTCTCTCGGGGTAGATCTCAAGAATGTGCCTTTTAGGAAGCTCCCTCACACTCTGATGCTCACCCCATCTGAACACATCTGTCCCAGACACAGTGGAAACCAGGGGAGTGAATAGATATTGCACAATTTTGCAACTGTGTGACCTTGGGCAAGACACCCAACTTTGTAAGTGGGAATCAGAATAGCACCTGTCTCACAGGCTAACTAACTGTGAGCACTATAGGGATGTACACACACACACACACACACACACACACACACACACACCCTAGAGCGGTGCTGGGCACTCAGAACCCAGAACTGCACTGAGCAAATGTGACTGCCTATTCCTTAGCAGTGACTGGCAGAACACTGTAGAGCCCCCGCTTTACCAATGTACAGACACTCAGGTCCTTCCCGTAAAGATTTTGATTTAAATAGTCTATCTAGGGAGAGGCCCAGGGTAGGGATTTTTTTTTTAATAGCATTCCAGGTGAACCTAAACAACAGCCAAGGTTGAAAACCACACCTGGGAAGCTGCCAGAAAGAAAAAAAAAAATCAACTCTTCTTTCTCTTCAGGTGTATGCACTTGCTTGCCATTCTGGAATTCCCAAAATGTATATACCACAAGGAGCGCTTGTATTCAGGCTGTTACAGAAGACTGGGTACCCCTCGATTCCACCTCCCAGCAGTCGTTTCCTGATACCAGCAGAAGAATGTGGCAGCTACACACTGAGCGGGAGTGATCCTTTTGCCCCCTCGCAGAGCTGCAAGGGTGCTGGACAAGGAAGTTGAGTCCCTGCTGGGCGCTAAGGCACCTAGTGGAGCTGGGTCTCAACAGGAAAGCACAGATCAAAGAGGGGCTGAAGCTAGCGTCGCTTTCTCCCAGAGGTGCCCAAAGGTTAGCTCCTCTCCCACTTTGCCTCCTCCCTGTTCCCTCTCCACCCACCCCTCTCCCCCTCCCCGCCAACACTGAGGAGGGCTCCTTGAAGCGCAGGTTTGCAAGGAAAGGGCTCGGTGGAGATTTCAGCAGAGGAATTCACCCGAATCTGCAAGGCAGCCTACCTATCCCTGGGAGAATCTCTCGCTACCAGGGCGACACCGCTGCCGCAGTCCTGCCTGCGCATCTCACCCTCACCTTAACGCAGACCTCAGAATCCACAGCGATGGCGGGCACCGCAGGGGAGTGAAACCACCGGGCCAATGGGGTTGGTGACAGGGCACCTTGGGGTTGCAGGAGGTGGGCGGGGCCAGCGCTTTACTCTTTGGGTAGGTCAGCATCCCCTCCAAGCTTACTTCTGTTCCTCAAGCCCTCACCACATCTCCCTGCTGACCCAAACCGGGAGGAACTTCTTCACTTCTCCCCCCGCCCCCCATCCCCGCAAAGTCCTCCCCTCTGGAAGAAAAAAAAAGTCATCGGATACTCTTCGTATAAATCGAAATTAATTACTAGTGAGGTGGTGCTGTTCCTTCGCCTGTTTTTGCTGGGGCTCTTTGTTCAGATTTTTTTAGGCAGGCTCCCCAAGCGCGTGCACACACACGCGCACACACGGGTCCCCGGCGGAGGTGTGGGGTGTGCGTGTGTGTGCATGTGTCTGTGTGAGTGTTGGGGGGGGGGGGGGGCGGGAGAGATACGTGGCAACTCCGTTACCCATATTCGAAAAGAGGACAGAGCGTGCGCCCAGCCATCCAGCAGTGCGCAGGCCGCCTGTCGCTCTCCAACCCCACCTGCCCGGACTTCACACCAACCCCGGGCCTCTCCCGGGTACCGGGCAGCGTCCTCGCAGCTGCGTCCTCGCCTCCAAAGTTACTGGGTTGTGCGAATCAATTTGGACACTTATAAAACAAGCAAAAGGCAAATAGCTCCATTAATCCCCAAATGCCTCCTTCCATCTGCTGCGACTTCCTCGTGCTGGGACTTGCATAATGAATGAGGCAAACGGGAAAGTTGGCGAATCAGGGTGGCAGGGAGGGGGGTAGTATCCGCGCCGGGCGGGGGCTCCGGCCTTTGAAGTGCACGCCAGCTCGAGCTATGGGTACAGGGAGAGGTGGCGACGGGGAAGCGGAGCCTGGGAGTTGGGGAGGGCAGAGGGGAGACCGTAGAGGCAGCAAGTTCCCGATACCAAGGACCTTGCAGCTCGGGGAAAGCCAGGCGGCCGCTCCGAACAAGGCTTTTGTTCTCGCCCTCCCTTGGCTCTCCGCCCCCCTCGCCTCCTTTTCCCGAGCCGTACTAGTTGCTGGCGGCACACACATCTTTCCCCCCTCCTTCCCTCACACACGCGCGCTCCGGCTCTCACACACACCCCTTCCCTTTCCGGCTCGCCCGCCGACCCCTGTTTATCTAGTATTTGGAACCCGAGGGTGGACCGCTCCCTAAAACCAGAGACTTGGAGGCCAAGGGCTCCCAGCTGTGTGCCTCAAGTCCGCTGCAATCTTCCGCGCGGGGAGGGGGTGCGGCAAGACACTGAGGGGAGAGACCCTCCCCCCCCCCACACACACACACAAGCTCATGTCCACACCTGTGCGGAGCCCAGCTCCCCCTCTCCGAATCCAAGTTGGTTTCCCGGTAACATCCCTCAGCAGAGAGCGGGGGGGGGGGGGGGGGGGGGGCAGCCATTGCTTAGGGGAGGTGGAAGGGGAGAGGAGGGAGCGCGGAGCTAGGAGGGGAGAGCGAGGGGGAGGCAGCCCACCTGGACATGTGCTCCCTCTGGGGTCGGTGCGCTTTCTCCAGTCCTAGCTTGGTGAAGATGCCTACGAGCACCATGACGGCCACCACCCCGCAGATGATGTAAACGATCAGGTTGGTCTTGTCCTTGGTGGGGTCGTGCAGGGGGTCGTCCTTGCGCGCCGGGGGCTTGCCGGTGTTGAGCCAGAGCGGAGTGTCGTAGTTGGTGCAGGTGCTCTGGTTCAGGCGCCGCTTCTTAAACGTGCAGCAGAACCGGAAGCCACAAGTCCCGCAGCAGAAGATGAAGTCGCCCGAGCTGCAGTTGAACGGCGGGTCCCACTGGCCCATGACATCGAAGTAACCCCGGCAGAAGTCCGGCGTGGGCGCCCGGGTCGGGGGCGCGTCCGAGACACCCGCGCCTTCTCCGGCCTCCCCGGAGGCGGCCCCGGAGCGGTTGCCCCCCGTCAGCACCAGCACGCCACCCAGCTGCGCCAGCTGCCCGTGCCCCGCTCGCTCCTGCGCCCGGCACACGCGGGCGCACAGCTCGGTGAGGAAGCAGCCGAGGAGCAGCCGAAGGACGCGGCGCATCGTGTCTCCCAGCCCGGGCTCGGCCGTTTGGCCGCCGCTGGAGCCGCTGCAGCCGCCTCTCGAAGCGCGGCCGAAGCTGCCGAGGCTGCTGCCGGGGGCTGGGAGCCGCCGCGGGCCGCACATGCAGGGAACGGCACGGGGCGCTCGGTGGTCTGCGGCCGCGGCGCTCGGCTCAGCCCGTGTTCGCCTCCAGCGCGCCGCGCGCCAAGGGGCTGGCCGGGGAGGAGCGCGCGGGGCTGGGCGGGGGGAGGAGGAGCGGGGGCAAGCGCGGGGTGCAGGTCCGGCTGGCTTCGGGGAGAGGCGGGGGCTGGAGCGCAGGGGAGAGTCAGTCCCTCGGCCGGCGGCTCTGGACTCGCTGCCCCGCGCCCGCTCGCAGGATCCTGCTCACCTCTTCGGCTCGCCAAGTGCGCTGGAGAGAGCGAAGCGACACTTGTGGAATGAAGGGAGGCCAGGAGAGAAGGAGGAGGGGAAGGAGGGCGGGCAGAGGAGGCGCGGGGTGGGGAGGCGGGCGCGAGCTCGAGAGGGGCGGGGGCGCGGGAGAGGTGACTCGGGCGGGCGGGCGGGAGCGAGTTGGGGGGCGTGCAGTACCGAGCCTGGCTGGCGGGCGGGTAGAAGGGAGTTTCGCAGCCGCCGGAGGAACAGCTCGGATTTCCCGGCAGGTAGAGGACGACGGCGGGACCTCCCGCGCCCTCTCCGGGCTGGAGGCGCGGCTCAGACCTGTTCCCGGTGCAGAGGCGGCTCCGCCCCTGGCTTTTTCTGGGATGCGGGCGCTGGAGCTGCGGCTCGAATCTGCCCAACGGGGAAAGGGTGCCTCGGAGGGGATAGGGACAGACTAGCTGGCTTACACCCCAACAGAGACAGTCTGATCAGGATCGCCCCTCCCAGGCGCGCGGGGCCGCTCTGCCCTTCCTGCTCCAGCCAGACACGCCATCGGGATGGCCCCACTCCTTGGGCCGAGGTGAGGACCACGGCTGAGCTGGGAAGGCGGGGTGGCAAGCCCCTGGGCCCGGGGTAAGACGCCGGAGGGGGGCTTGGGCTGAACTAAAGTCAAAGAGGCGCAGAGGGTCAGGAGAGGCTGCCGACAAGACCGAAGCAATAGCCATGCCTCTGAAGGTCTTTCCTTGGGACTCTCCCAGGCCCCCGTACCTGCCACTTTGCTGTCTCTCTTCCCCCTCTTAGCGTTCCCTGCGCTCCACAGGAGGGCTCACCACGGCGCTGCCTCTGCGCGCCCAGATCTGGCGCAGTGCAAGGCCTGTGTACCCAATCTTCGCCTCCCTCCTGGACCTGGAGCCCGCGCGCCGGTCCCCAGACTCCACTGGCCCCGGTCCCACCCAGCCCCGACCATACCCCACTCCCGGTCATCCTCACCCAGGGCTGCAGAGCTGGCCTTGTTCCTCGGCTTCCAGCCTTGCGTCGCCCTCTCTCAACTCAGCCAATTCCAGCCATCGTCAGCCCTCTCCCATTTCTCCCACTTCTTCTCTCCTCTGCTTGAATTTGACTCCAGTAGCCCCCGAAACAGCATTTGCACCAAAGCTGCTACACCAAATTTAGATTTCCACACGCCCCTGCGTTTTGTTTTTTAATTGCATTAACTAAGTATACACTTTGCAGTCAGCGGGGCTATTTGCAGTGATAAGATGTTTCCACCACTTTCCTCTCCATTTGGCTGCAGTCAAGCTCTTCTCGGAGCATTTTCAGGGAGTTGGGGCCAGTAAAATGACATACTGGGGTCCTCATAATTGGAAAAGCAAGCAGGTGCATCAGGGCTCTACTGCAAGTTTTCTGGGGGATTAGGGCCAATTGTGTGTCTTTGAAGACACATCACCTACTTACTGTCTGCTCAGACTTGCAAAGAGTGATCCTGTTCCAGCAACAACACACCAGGGCAGCACTGACAGAGCATATCCAGGAGTGTATCAGTCCTGGAAGACTTACTGAATTATGGGGCTGTATTATGTCCCAAACACACGCAGACAAGGTGTGAGATTGTGAGTCTAAATTCATCAGATTCATCATAACCGGGTCCCCAAAATAGGACAGTGTGGCATGTCTGTGGACCCACACCCACGACCACTGTGTGACTCTCTACAAACACAGCTCTGGTGTGTGAGAGTTATTGATAGCTGACATTTATTCAGTGCTTGCGACATCCCCACGAAGCTTGCTCCTCACAGATGCTTAGAGCAGTGCCTAGCATGTAGCTGACAATCTGGGAATATTTGCTGAGCCACTGAGTGACAGATCTCATTTAACTCTATTCATTAGGTAGTATTACCAGGCCCACACAACAGAGGGAGAGACTGAGGCCCAAAGCAATTAAACCAGTTGCCCAAGGTAGCTCAGCAAGGGAGTGTGCCGTTGACTTTTGACCCAAGAAATTTGACCCAGGGGCCTGTGTTCTAACCACAACAAAATAGGCCTTCAGGCTCCATCCACTGACATTAGATAATGCATTTATTTTTTTCTGTCACCCCCACATTGAAATGTAACTTCATGACAGAAATGGCCCTGACCCTTGCAGAGTCCCACAGCGTCTAGAACAGAGGGAAGCATTAAAAAACAATAATAATAATTAACTAATTAAGAACTTTCATGCAAGACTTTGTCTTAAACCAAGAAAAAAGAACACAGGCCCTGGCCTGGTGGCTTAGTTGGTTCAAACAGGTTATAGGTTCGACTCTCTGTCAGGGCACATACCTGGGTTGTGGGTTTGATCCCTGGTTGGGGAGCTTATGGGAGGCAACCAATACATGTATTTCGCATCGATGTTTCTCTCTCCTTTCCTCTCTCTCTAAAATAAATAAAAACATATCCTCCAGTGAGGATTTTAAAAAAGAACCCAAGGCAGGGACAGACTAGAGCTTCTGCTGTTATGACCTCTGCAGAGGGGTTGGCATATTTCTACATGCTAAGTCAGAACTGGAAAGAGCTGCCCCAGCAGTCTTGCTAAGGCCCAGGAAGCTGAGGCTCAGAGAGGTTAAGAGCTTTGTCCAAGGTCACAAGGGCAACACATGGGAAAGCCAGGGCTGATACAGACTGGCAGACTTCTCATCTCTAGTCTCCTGCCATCCCACCTCACTGCATTTCCACCCTGGCACTTCCCAGCATGCATCAGGGCTGAGAGCCAAGGGCAAGAACCTGGTAGAAGAATAGATCTAGACACCTTCCCACAAGAGTTGGGGGTTTTAAGGCATTTATAAATTTAATTTTTTTAATAAAAAACCTGTAATGAAATCCAGTCACTGTAAAATATTGCCTGTCACCTGGGCATTTGAGTTGGGTCCTCAGAGAAGCCTGGCTGTAGCTGCTGCTCCCCGCTTTAATTAACAGAGGCTGCCCCCTATTTGTGACAAAGGGAGTGCAGGATTGTGCTTCAGAGAGAAGCCCTTTGTGGCTTATTTGCCAGATTCCAAACTTTCAACCTTCTATCCCTTGAGCTTTGCCCGAATCAAATTGCCTCTGGTCCTGCCTATTGTGGCTGCCATTGCCCCTGGAATATTGCCGGAGCCTGTTTCCCAAACATTTGAAAATTATTTCGAAGTGGGAGGAATCATCTTGGTTCGTTTTACTCCTCAAAGGAAAGAAGCCGATGCCCTCTGGGTCTTTCCAGTCAGTAAATAGTTACTGCCTCCTCATAGATGCATGATTATTGGAAACATGGCTCTGTTTGGAACAGGGGTGGGCACGAGGGCCACAATGGGTTCTTAAACTGAACCGGAGGGCCGGAACAAAAGCATGGATGGAGTGTTTGTGTGCACTAATATAAATTCAAAGTAAACATCATTACATAAAAGGGTACGGTCTTTTTTTTTTTTTTTCGTTTTATTCATTTCAAACGGATCCGGCCCGCGGCCCGTAGTTTGCCCACAGCTGGTTTGGAACATCTTCCAGGGCTTCTGGTTGGGGGGGGGGGGGGGGGGGGGTAGAGAGAGAGAAGGGGAGTAAACTTCCTAATTGAAACAATTGGTAAGTTCATGGAAGATGAAAAATCATCATCAAAGGCCACCCCCCACCCCTATCCAAATGAATTCATGCAAATGTGTTGCAATTAAAATGCAACTCTTAATGAAAGTACTTTCTAAGAAAGAGATGATGACATTATTATTTACAACACAGGCACTCTTAATATCCAAAGAAGAATCTTTCATTTGCTCTAGCCTTAATTATGTCAGACTACAGAGCATGTTACAAAGAGACTGAAATTGTACTCCCCAACAATTAGAGGAGAGAGCCACGTGACAAAGGATATGTGCTTACCAGGACCTGCAACCCATGTCTACAAGCAAATTAGATCATTTGTGCTATGGCCCTCAAAATCTCATCAGATGGCTTTTAGGGTTTCAAAGAGGTTTCTAAGCAACTGTTAGCCTTGAGGGGGAAAAAAGATAAAACAGAAGCTGTTGATTCAAAACTTCAAGTGCTCCCTGGGTGAAATCTAAAACTGGCCCCATAACACAGAGGACAAGGAGAGAGAAGAAAGCCAGGCTGCTCCACAATGGTGGGTGGCAGGTTTAACATGCAGGAGAACTTACCTACAAGGCTTGTCTTGGGCATGACAAGGCCAAAGCGAGGAGATTGCCACATCCTCCCACTAGTTCAAATAGAGGACTCAATGGGGTTCCGTCACGTGCACCCTTCGGATGGTCTCAACAACTTACTCTTGCAAGGCTACAGCCTTGAGAGTGCAGGAACAATGGGCAGAATGTACATTTCCAAGACAGGGGCGGGGTGAGCAGCCTCCAATAGCCTGGGTCTAGCCCGAGGGTCAACCTCTGGTCACAGCCTCTCAATGACCTCCTCTAACAGAAGCCTGAATGTACCTAGCACCTTGCCAGGTTCAAGCAACACCCACTATGATATATGTTATTCTTTTGTCCTAAAGAGAGAAGAGAAGCCTTATAGAAGAAGTGAAGTGAGTCTAAAGTATAGTTCCCCCAGACTGGGGGTGGTACGTGATTTGTTTTTCGGTGGTACCCCAACAAAGATTTTTTTAAATCGTTTTATATTTATTTCAATGTATATCAGGAAAAAAAAATAATGATGCATCCAGCACATGGCTTCATGGACATAAGTGTTTAAGGTGTAGTGAATCCTTTAAGTCCATTAATTTAAAGTCAATTTAAGAAAAATAATAAAGACATCATAGTATTTATTGATGAAATACAAATGAAGAAGAGAATATGAAGTGTCTGGTACTGAAAACTGAGTTTATGAAATGTGAGCTTTGGTATCAGAATAGGGGATCTCAGGTTCAGCACTAGTGACATTGTAAGTGGATAATTCTTTGTTGTGGGGCCATCTTGTGCATTAGCAGCATCCTTGGCCTCTACCTACTAGATGCCAGTAGCACTGCCCAGTTGTGACAACTAAAAATTGTTAACAAGCAGACATTGC